GTGAGGCTCAAGTTAGAGTATGTAGGAAAGAGGGAAATTATTTCCCAGTAAAAGTAGGCCTTAGACAAGGATGTGTGATGTCACCGTGGTTGTTAAATATATTTATAGATGGGGTTGTAAGAGAAGTAAATGCGAGGGTCTTGGCAAGAGGCGTGGAGTTAAAAGTTAAAGAATCACACATAAAGTGGGAGTTGTCACAGTTACTCTTTGCTGATGACACTGTGCTCTTGGGAGATTCTGAAGAGAAGTTGCAGAGATTGGTGGATGAATTTGGTAGGGTATGCAAAAGAAGAAAATTAAAAGTGCATACAGGAAAGAGTAAGGTTATGAGGATAACAAAAAGATTAGGTGATGAAAGATTGGATATCAGATTGGAGGGAGAGAGTATGGAGGAGGTGAATGTATTCAGATATTTGGGAGTGGATGTGTCAGCGGATGGGTCTATGAAAGATGAGGTGAATCATAGAATTGATGAGGGGAAAAGGGTGAGTGGTGCACTTAGGAGTCTCTGGAGACAAAGAACTTTGTCCTTGGAGGCAAAGAGGGAATGTATGAGAGTATAGTTTACCAACGCTCTTATATGGGTGTGAAGCGTGGGTGATGAATGTTGCAGCGAGGAGAAGGCTGGAGGTAGTGGAGATGTCATGTCTGAGGGCAATGTGTGGTGTGAATATAATGCAGAGAATTCGTAGTTTGGAAGTTAGGAGGAGGTGCGGGATTACCAAAACTGTTGTCCAGAGGGCTGAGGAAGGGTTGTTGAGGTGGTTCGGACATGTAGAGAGAATGGAGCGAAACAGAATGACTTCAAGAGTGTATCAGTCTGTAGTGGAAGGAAGGCGGGGTAGGGGTCGGCCTAGGAAAGGTTGGAGGGAGGGTGTAAAAGAGGTTTTGTGTGCGAGGGGCTTGGACTTCCAGCAGGCATGCGTGAGCGTGTTTGATAGGAGTGAATGGAGACAAATGGTTTTTAATACTTGACGTGCTGTTGGAGTGTGAGCAAAGTAACATTTATGAAGGGGCTCAGGGAAACCGGCAGGCCGGACTTGAGTCCTGGAGATGGGAAGTACAGTGCCTGCACTCTGAAGGAGGGGTGTTAATGTTGCAGTTTAAAAACTGTAGTGTAAAGCACCCTTGACAGTGATGGAGTGAATGATGGTGAAAGTTTTTCTTTTTCGGGCAACCCTGCCGTGGTGGGAATCGGCCAGTGTGATTATAATAATAAAATTTTTTTTTTTTTTTAAACCGGCTGTCTCCCACCAAGGCAGGGTGACCCAAAAAGAAAGAAAAATCACCAAATAGAAAATACTTTCATCATTCAACACTTTCACCTCACTCGCACATAATCACTGTTTTTGCAGAGGCGCTCAGATATGACAGTTTAGAAGTCCCTCCAAAGTGTCAATATCCCATACCCATCTTTTAAAATGCAGGCATTGTACTTCCCATTTCCAGGACTCAAGTCCGGCTAACGGTTTCCCTAAATCCCTTCACTAAATATTACCCTGCTCACATTCCAGCAGCTCGTCATGTCCCAAAAACCATTTGTCTCCATTCCTATCTAACACACTCACGCATGCTTGCTGGAAGTCCAAGCCCCTTGCTCACTAAACCTCTGCTTCCTCCCTCCAACCCTGTCGAGGACGACCCCTGCCCTTCCTTCCTTTCCCTACAGATTTATATGCTCTCCAAATCATTCTACTTTGATCCATTCTCTCTAAATGACCAAACCACCTCAGTAACCCCTCTTCAGCCCTCTGACTAATACTTTTAGTAACTCCACACTCCATAAAAAGCCAAGTAGTATGCCTTATTTCCATTGGGGTCCTTTGCTGTTTTTCTTCAGGATGCAACTCAACTATCAGTTAACACCTGGGTACCTAGTTATTGTTCCTAGGTAAACAAGGAGAGCATGTTTAAAGAGGCTGCTCTTATATCTTGCCTCTCTTGAAATGGACTTGGATCTTTTGATTGTTATTCAGAAGTGCTATTTTGCTATGAGCCACCTAAAAAAGTACTGTACGGTACAGTATAGTGTGTGATTGAGAGGTATGCCCTGATCATTCATTATGTTTTAAGAAAGCAAATCCAGAGATAGGAAGACTAGCTTGAAGCACGAGTTGCCTGTAGCTGTCTCTCACACACTCCTCAAAGGATCTTGCATGAAAAAAGAAACTGTCTTGAGAATGGAAGACCATCCTGCATTGTGAGTTTAATTGGGCATGGAGAGTGGCAGTCATATATGTATCAGTCACCCACTGAAGTGTGAGAGCAGGCATCAGCTTAGAGGCATCCTGTATAAGCCTATGGCAAATTTAGTTGTGGAATTTATGAAAAATGATCTCATAACTGACCATAAACAGGAGTAGGTAAGCAAGTTTATCGTTAAAACCTTCAGTCTTTACAGTACTCGGCTGAAACAAAATAATTCACCCCATATTCTACTGTGGAAGGTACAGTACTGGAGCATATTTTTTTTTTTTTAAGCAATGGCCATCTCCAATTGAGGCACAGTGGCCTGAAAATGAAGAAATTAAGTTTTTCTCTTTTTTACATTTAGTAATTATATAGAAGGGGTTACTAGCCCCTTGCTTCTGGTATTTTAATAACCTCTTACGACACGCATGGCTTACTGAGGAAGGATTCTTCTGCACTTCCCCATGGAGATACTAGAGAGTTATAATCCTGTAACCACTTAAGAGACTGACCTAATCAAATGCATTGTACCCCCTCTGCAAACTACCAACAATACATGGGACTGCATGATCATCCAAAAGTAGACCCTATTTAAATTGAGATTCTTAATCTAAAACTAATGCCAGTATTCTTGGTTCGAACACTTCATTCATTTGATCAGACACTGAATTAGCAAATACATATATCTTCTTTCAACAAACTGGCCATACCTCACTAAAGCAGGGTGGCCCAAAAAGAAAAATGAAAGTTTCTATTTTTAATATGTACAGGAGAAAGGGTTACTAGCTCATTGATCCTGGCATTTTAGTTGCCTCTTACTACATTCTTGGCTTACAGAAGAATTCTGTTCCACTTTCCCATATACAGTGGAACCCCAAGTTTTGGTCATAATCCGTTCCAGAAAGCTGTTCGAGTACCGTTACCGGAATAATGTAAATTAGGTTAGACCGTTTCAGACCCCCCAAAAATACACTTACAAAAGCACCTACAATAATACACTTACATAATTGTTCGAGTTGGGAGGTGGCTGAAACTCGGGGTACCACTGTATATATATACAGTGGACCCTTGCCTGACGAATGCATCGCATAACGTTAAATCCGCCTAGCGATACATTTTAATGCAAAAATTTTGCCTCGACGAGAGCTAAAACACTCGCCCAACGCGATTCGTTCCGTTCAAGACGCGTCCACATGTGGCCTGAGCGCGCCTCACTTGTCCCGTGGGTGCCAGTGTTTGCAAGCCAGCCACCGCGGTCGCATCCGAACATACAATCGGAATATTTCATATTATCACAGCGTTTTTAGTGATTCCACCTGCAAAATAAGTCGCCATGGGCCCCAAGAAAGCTTCTAGTGCCAACCCTGAGATAAAAAGGGTGAGAATTAGTATGGAAATTAAGAAAGATTTTGAAGGGTTTGGGGCTAACCCTGAGATGCCTATGTATTGTGGAATCCATTGTGCCTACTTCAAAGATTAAGGAAATGTGTGCAAAGTGGGTTGAACTGCAAACCTTTATGGATGAAAATCACCCTAACACAGCTATTACAAGCTGTGCTGGTGACTATTACAATGACAGTGTTATGGCCCATTTTAGACAAATCTTAAAGGAACGGGAGGTACAGAGCTCTGTGGACAGATATGTTGTGCGACAGAGGTCCAGTGACTCTCAAGCTGGTCCTAGTGGCATTAAAAGAAGAAGGGAAGTAACCCTGGAAAAGGACTTGACATCTCAAGTCCTAATGGAAGGGGATTCCCCTTCTAAACATTAACACCATCCCCTCCTCCCATCCCATCAATCATCACCAGATCTTCAATAAAGGTAAGTGTCATGTAATTGTACATGTCTTCTTCAGTTTGTGTGTATTAAAATTAATATTTCATGTGGTAAAAAAAAATTTTTTTCATACTTTGGGGTGTCAAGAACGGATTAATTTGATTTCCATTATTTCTTATGGGGAAAGTTAATTCGGCTAACGATAATTTCGCCTAATGTTGAACTCTCAGGAACGGCTTGATATCGTTAGGCGAGGGTCCACTGTATATATATATTCTTCTTTCAACACACCGGCCGTATCCCACCGAGGCGGGGTGGCCCAAAAGGAAAAACGAAAGTTTCTCCTTTTACATTTAGTAATATATACAGGAGAAGGGGTTACTAGCCCCTTGCTCCTGGCATTTTAGTCGCCTTTTACAACACGCATGGCTTACGGAGGAAGAATTCTGTTCCACTTCCCCATGGAGGTAAGAGGAAATAAACAAGGACAAGAAATAGAAAGAAAACCCAGAGGGGTGTGTGTATATATATGCTTGTGCATGTATGTGTAATGTGACCTAAGTGTAAGTAGAAGTAGCAAGACGTACCTGAAATCTTGCATGTTTATTAGACAGAAAAATTGACACCAGCAATCCTATCATCATGTAAAACAATTACAGGCTTTCGTTTTACACTCACTTGGCAGGATGGTAGTACCTCCCTGGGCGGTTGCTGTTTACCAACCTACTACCTCTTTATATATTTGTATATATACAAACATACATACATACATACATACATACATACAGTTGACCCCCCACCTTACGATATTATTTCATTCCAGAGGTCTGTTCAGGTACCGTTATAGACCGAATTTGTTCCCATAAGGAATATTGTGAATTAGATTAGCCCGTTTCAGACCCACAAAAATACACGTACAAAAGCACTTAGAAAAATACACTTACATAATTGGCCGAGTTGGGAGCTGATCCTAAGGCGGGGGTCCACTCTATGTATATTTTTAGTAATAAATATTTTTTCTGAAATTCCCCAGGTTGCAGTTGAAGATATCATTGAATTAAGGGTTGAGGAGGAATTTGAAGATGATGAAAATGGCCAAATTAGTCACACAAAAAATGTTCATAGCAGATTACAGACAACAGAATCAGTTTACGAAGAGGAAGAAATTCAAGAGCATCATAATGACTCCTCAATGGGTGAGTTGAAAGAATACTTTTTCAAGGTTATTTTCAGAGTTAAGTTTTGTAAAAAAAAAAATAAATAAATAAATAAATAAAAAAGTATTATTTTCCATGAGTATTTAACAGACATAAATGGTAAAACAAGGAAATAAAATGTAACCTCAGAAAAAATTCTTGTGCATTGTAAGTCCACATAAATAGCCGCCAGATTAATAAGATAAATTTGACTGTGCCACCTACATTCTGTATACATTATACATATACACACAGCTTTACATTCCTGTCTGTCTCTCTTATGGCAGTAGTTCTTATTCCTGCAATTTTCCTCTCCACGAATCATACCCCTCAAGGGAGGTCCCTTGATGCTGGTGAGGGGGGCTCTTAATCTAGGGAATTGGATCTGTGCTCCAGTTCCCTGAATTGAGCCTGAATATCTTCCAACCCCCCCCCCCCCCCTACATGCACTGTATAATCCTACGGGTTTAGCGCTCCCCCATGATAATAATAATAATAATTCCTGAATCATAACAGATATAATAGACATGGAAGGATTACTGAAGTGGTTGCAGAAAATTGCAGATTTTGGGAGTAGTACATAGCGAGGAAGTACAGCTGTTCTATTTGCAGTTGCTGTAGAGGAAGTTCATGAAGAAACTCAGAATATAGTAGAAGTGGAAGAGGAAGAGGAGGAGGAGGAAGAAGAGGAGGAAGAGGATGACGAAGGAAGAGGGCGGGATCGGTTCAAGAGTGAGCGCTCTAAGATCTCCCTCGCCAGTACAACTGTGGAGCGCATTATTCCGGATTCTTTAGGTAATTACTGTGTATTGGAACCAGTGTCACACTTTTACTTGTTTAAATATAAGTTGATTATGTAATGTTTAATTATTTATATACATATATGTATAAGACTTTCTAGCTTCTTGTTGAAATTTTAAGTATACAAGTCTTGTTCAATATGAGTTAGTTAAATTTGAAGTTTGAAAGGAGTATTTTGAAATGTTGTATGTTGATGAAGAGAGGAAGGCAGTGATTTCTTGCATTAGGCAGGGAGTTATAACATCTAGGTGTGAGGATGAGTCAGATGTGTGTGTGGGGAGGTGTGTGAGGCAATGGATAGAATGAAAGAAGGTAAAGCAATGGGATTAAGACAGAAATGAGCATTTGTAAAGAGAATTAAGTATAATATAAGACAGGGTGAAAGTGGACAGAAGAGGGAGGAGAAGACAGAAGGAAAGGCAGTCTAACTGCTGGCTGACCTTTACATTTGCGACTCCATTCCTCCCATGCCATTCTCAACAGCAGCAGTGAGGAAATGGTGTGCATATGTAATGAGTATTGTATTGTGCTGGATTTCATGTGAGAGAGATGAAAGTGATAATTAGTGAGAGGGGATCTAAGACTCCTCAAATTCTCAGTGGCATTAACCTCCAATGCTGCTATAGCTCCTGAGAAATGCCCAGATTCTCATTAGCTAATTTTATTACCTTTTACCATCACCTAATTAATTCAGCCTAAAATATGCAAGAAATATCACTTCTGGTAAGCAAGACAGCATTTACGTTCAGGATAAACAGTACTGGAGTGTTGTAGCTCTGTTCTATTTAATTAACTTGCATACATTAATAAAGAAGGTTAATACCGGTTGTAAGTGAAAAGGAACAGTAGTGAATGTAAGATATTGGATACATATTTTTGATTAAAAAAGTTTATAAATGAGATTAGAATATTATGGCTCAAGAATGCATATATATATACATATAATGGGTACTTGTGGAAAAACAGGGGTTCCAAACATTTGACTTGAAAAAATTTCAAGAATGTGCTAATATTGTGGGGAAAACCTACTGTATTTGAAAACTGAGGAAAAGTATGATAGATATGCTCTGTATGTATAAAATATTTTGTGTTGAATCTATTTTTGTATTAGATGAAGTGAAAGTGAAAAAGCCTGAGTTCAGAGACAACCGACGAGGCCGTGGCCAAAGAGGAAGTTGGGGTCGAGATAGAGGAGGGTTTCGAGGCGGACCCAGAGGTGGACCAAGAGGTGGACCAAGAGGTGGACCTAGAGGTGGACCAAGAGGTGGTCCAAGAGGTGGTCCAAGAGGTGGAATGATGCCTCAAGGAAGTCCTCGAGGATGGCCCGGCCCTCGTCCTATGAATGTAAGTACACGTACATGCTAAAAAGTTTATTAAAGATTATTTTAGAAATGTTTTGACTATTTCTTTCCTACACAGTGGGACTTGATAAGCTGTTGGAGTGTGAGCAGGGTAATGTTTTGTGAAGGGATTCAATGAAAAAAGATTAGCCAGATTTGAGTCTGAGGTGTCTCCTGGTGTCACAAAATTTCCAAAAAAGAAAAAAACAACAAGAGGAAAATATTTTTTCTTATGAAATGATAGATAATCTTTTCCCGATTGTAATGACATTAAAAGAACGAAATTTGATGGAAAACTGACGGAATTACGCTCTCGCGAAGTTAGCGACCTCAACGATATTTATGAATTGGTGATTTCGCCCACTTTGAACCCTATTTTCGGCTAATTCCATTGTTCCAGTCGACCAAACTCATAGCTATTTCTTTAGAACTCTATTTTTTCTATCAATTGAATGCAAGAGACTGCCCATTTACCAATTTCAAATACCTAATAATGTGGTCAGAAATTTGCAATTTGGCCAATTTCAGGAAAATTAAAAAATATGACAATTTCAAAATAGGGTCTAGAATGAACAATGCAGAAATTCCTGGCTCTAAAATAACATTTTCTTTGTTCATCAGTCATGTTTCCAGGCCCCTCTGATATTACTCTTGCTTTCTATTTTGAATTTTTATTCAAACAAAAAATAGAAGATTTACTGTTATGCAGACTACTGTAATATTGTAATAATTGTATAAATCATGTCAACCCATTCATGACTGCATACTAGAATGGCTACTTGGACATTTATTGGAAAATGACATCATTTGTTTACTTTTGAACATCGGCAAAAATCAGACATTTCCCATACTTTGAGCTCCATATCAAGGTTCTTTTCTTAGTAAAACCAATCAAAATCACCACTATTTCTATATGTTTTCCATTCTATCAAATGAGACCAAGAAAATGAGAATACAACCATAAATACTGTACGAAAATAGACCACAAATTCGGCATTTTAATTAAAAAAATGGTCATTTTTTTTTATAAGGTGCACACTAACTACACAGACCAATTCTCTCACATGTGGGCCTACCAGCTTTCTCCTGCTTGATTTGAAGCCGCTAGAATTTATGAGTATATATATACGTCAAAAATGGTGGCTCATGAGACGTATATATACGACCAAAACAGTCAAAGGGTTAAAGAGGAGGGGTTTGGGATATTTCCTGTTTGGAGTGACATGAACTGTTACATCTGTGTACCTCTGCAAAGACAGTGATTATGTGTGAATGATGGTGAAAGTGTTTTGTTTTTGGGTCACCCTGCCTTAGTGGGAGACGGTCAGCATGTTAAAAAAAAAGAAAAGCGGGACTTGACTAATTAGGTATCCCTGCTTAGGTGGAAAATGAATTGATTTCACAGTTTAGTTTTCCTTCTCACTGCTATTGATTTCCATATGGTGACTTGAAGTTTTTTTTTTTAATTTAAACTTGTTAGAGCATATCTTTTTAATACTGTATATTATAAAAGTTCATATTGTGCTTTGGAATTTTATCCCCTTAGAAGACAATTTAAATTTTTTTTTTTTTTTATTTTTTTTAGTTCCTCTTTTACACTGATCTGCTTTTACCAAGATTAAAGCATTGTATAGGGTTTTGGGTAGATTTTAGAGGAAAAACCATTATTGCAGATTTTAAAGGGATGCCATAGTGACACTAAAGTATCCAGGAAAAGGAAATACAGCGGACCCACAGTTAATGCCTTTAATCTGTTCCAGAGAGCCAGCCTTTAACTGATTTAACCTTTAACCGAATTAATTTTCCCCATAAGAAATAATGGAAATCCAGTTAATCCGTATTAACCCTTTCAGGGTTTCCGACGTACTAATACGGCTTACGCACCAGGGTTATTGACGTACTAGAACGCCTAAATTCTAGCACCTTCAAATCTAGTGAGAGAAAGCTGGTAGGCCTACATATGAAAGAATGGGTCTATGTGGTCAGTGTGCACAGTATAAAAGAAATCCTGCAGCACACAGTGCGTAATGAAAAAAAAAAAACTTTGACCGTGTTTTTGGATTAAGACAGCGAATTTGCACTATTTTCGTATGGTATTTATGGTTGTATTCTAGTTTTCCATGTCTCATTTTATAGAATGGAAGACATTTTACAGAAATTGAGATGATTTTGATTGGTTCAAAGTAGCAGAAATGTTCGATTTTTACCAAAGTTCAAAAGTAAACAAATCATGCCAAGCGTCCAATACACGTCAACTGGTGAGTCTAATATTCTTTCACCAGTGCGCTGATATTATTTATACCATTTCTACACTAATGCAGTAGTCTGCATAACAGTAAATCTTTTATTTTTTGTGAGAATAAAAATTCAAAGTGGAAAGCAAAAGAAATGTAAGAGGGGCCTGGGGACATGACTAACGAACAGAGAACTTGTTACTTTAGTGCCAGGAATGTCTGTCTTGTTTATTCTGGACCCTATTTGGAAATTGGCATCTTCTGAAATTTGTGTGAAATTTTCAAAATTGCCAATTTCTAACCACTTTACTGGATAGTTGAAATTGGTAAATGGGTGGTTTCTTGTACTCATTTGATAGAAAAAATGGAGTTCTAAAAAAATAAATATGATTTTTGTCGACTAGTACACAGGAATTGGCCGAAAATAGGGCTCAAAGTGGGCGAAATTGCTGATGCATAAACATCGTCGAGACCGCTAACTTCACGAGAGCATAATTTCGTAAGTTTTCCATCAAATTTCATACTTTTGGTGTCATTATGATCGGGAAAAGATTCTCTTATCATTTCATAAGAAAAAAAAAAGAATTTTTTTCTGGAAAATTTTTGACCCTGAGAACAAGTTTAGGAGAGGGCCTCTTGACCCTGAAAGGGTTAAACAAAAATCATTTTTTTTTTACATGAAATATACATTCCCTCTACACAGAAAACAATGATACATGAAGAATAAAACAATAATAACATCAAACTTACTTTTATTGTGGACTTGTTGATGAGTGATGAGATGGGAGAAGGGCAGAGGATGAAGGTGTTCTATTGTTTGAAGGGGAATCCCCTTCCATAAAGACTTCAGGTAACAAGACCTTTTCTGGCTTGTGTCCTAGGAGTGCCTTTTCCTCCTGAGTAATCGTAGGTCCTGTTTGGCATTTTCTTCCTAAACAGGCCTGTTTCGTCACAATTGAACACATGTTGGGGTTTTAAGTTTTCAGCCTCTATGTACCCCTTAATCTTTTCAGGGTTGGTGCCGTACTAGTACGGCTTGCACGCTAGGGTTGGTGCCATACTAGTACGCATAAATTCTAGCGCCTTCAAATCTAGCGAGAGAAAGCTGGTATACCTACATATGAAAGAATGGGTCTATGTGGTCAGTGTGCACAGTATAAAAAAAAAATTCTGCAGCACACAGTGCATAATGAGAGAAAAAAAACTCCGACAGTGTTTTTGGTTTAAAACAGCGACTTTGCAGTGTATTTTCATATGCTATTTATGGTTGTATTCTAGTTTTCCTGGTCTCATTTTATAGAATGGAAGACACATTACAAAAATTGAGATGATTTTGATTGGTTTCACAATGAAAAGTACCTTGAAATTGAGTTCAAAGTATCAGAAATGTTCGATTTTTGCCCAAGTTCAAAAGTAAACAAATTATGCCATCCGTCCAATACACATCAACTGGTGAGTATAGTATTCTTTCACAAGTGCGCTGATATTATTTATACCATTTCTACACTAATGCAGTAGTCTGCATAACAGTAAATCTTCTATTTTTTGTGAGAGTAAAAATTCAAAGTGAAAAGTAAAAGAAATATAACAGAGGACTGGGGACATGACTAATGAATGGAGGAAATGTTATTTTAGTGCCAGGAACGTCTGTCATGTTTTTTCTGGACCCTATTTGGAAATTGGCATCTATTGAAATTTGTGTGAAATTGGCAAAATTGCCAATTTCTGACCACTTTATTGGATAGTTGAAATCGGTAAATGGGTAGTTTATTGTGCTCATTCGATAGAAAAAAATGGAGTTCTAGCAAAATAAATATGATTTTTGTCGCCTGGTACATTGGAATTGGCCGAAAATAGGGCTCAAATTGGGCAAAATTGCCGATGCGTATGCATCGTCGAGATCGCTAACTTCACGTGAGCATAATTCGTAGGTTTTCCATCGAATTTCATACTTTTGGTGTCATTATGATCGGGAAAAGATTCTCTCTCATTTCATAAGATTTTTTTTTTTTTTCGAAAAAATTCTGACCCTGAGAACAAGTTTAGGAGAGGGCCTGCCGACCCTGAAAGGGTTAAAGTCCTGCACATATTTTTGAGCCGCTTTTTTTGTCAGAACTGGTAGCCTCACCATGCTTATCATACCATACCACCATCACAGCCACTACCACCCTCTACCACCATTGCTACCCCCCCTACCACCCTCTACCACCATCACTACCACCCTCTATCACCATTACTACCACCCTCTACCACCATCACTACCACCCTCTACCACCATCACTACCACCCTCTACCACCATTACTACCACCATTACTACCACCATCACTACCACCATCACTACCACCCTCACTACCACCCTCACTACCACCCTCACTACCACCCTCACTACCACCCTCACTACCACCCTCACTACCACCCTCACTACCACCCTCACTACCACCCTCTACCACCATCACTACCACCCTCTACAACCACCACTTTTGTATTTTTCTAAAAACTTTTTCTTAAATTATGTATGTCTCACATTCTTTACTATAGGGCTGGCACTAGAAGCTTTCTTGGGGCCTATGGTGGCTTATTTAGCAGTTACAAGCACCAAAAACAATGGAATAATACAAAATATATCGCATGTACACGTGGAATTGTCCTCACTGGCTTTGTAAACAATGGCACACTGGCTGGTACACGGAGTGAGTGGCTGGGCCCACTGGTGCTGTGCCGACACGTCACTACGAAAGCTCCTAACCAAGTTTTTAGGTGTTATCCAAGCCAATTTTTTTATGCCAAAGCGAGGCGTTATCCGATTTTGGTGTTATCTGATGCAGGCGTTAACTGAGGGTCCACTGTACAAATAATGGGGAAGGAGGAAAAATAAGTTAACATAACAAGAGCCTTACATAGGTCATAGGTATTGTATCAGTCTGTCAGCCAGTAGCTCATTATGCATAGTAAAATAGAATATAACATTAATATTTATTTCTTTTTTTTTTAACAAGTCGGCCATCTCCCGAGGCAGGGTGACCCAAAAAAGAAAGAAAATCCTTAAAAAGAAAATACAGGTCTCCCTCAACATTCACGGTTTCAGCTTTCGCGGGCTTCATACATTCGCGAATTCCCAACCGCCAAATTCCCAGCCACCAAATTCCCAGCCGCCAATTCAAGTTTCCCGCCACCTGCAAGTCCCTACTACCCTCCCTCCGACCCCCGCAACTGGCAGCCAGCCCTCCCACCACTCAGTGTGGTGAGTGTTTTGTTTGTTCATTATTTGCTATTAAACTACAGTATAAATAATGTAAACCCATTCATGACTGCATATTGGAATGGCTATTCGTACAGGTATTAGACGGTGACATCATGTGTTTACTCTTGAACACAGCAAAGAATCAAACATTTCTGCTACTGCTAATAATAGCAATAGTAATAATAATAATAATAATAATAATAAATACGATATAATTGAAGAAGGAAGTTGTACAAAAATACGAGGGAGTGGTTGACACATCGTCAGTGTGGCTTTGTGCTGGAGTGAGCATTAGTCTCCGTGCTCTTCCGAACATTTCACAATAATTCATTGTGTTTGGTGCTTGTAGATTGAGTGCGACTGGAGTGGTAGAGGCAGCGATTGAGGCAGCGATTGAGGCAGCTGTTGAGGCAGCTGTTGAGGCAGCTGTTGAGGCAGCTGTTGAGGCAGCTGTTGAGGCAGCGATTGAGGCAGCTGTTGAGGCAGCGATTGAGGTAGTGGTTGAAGCAGCTGTTGAGGCAGCTGTTGAGGCAGCGATTGAGGCAGTGGTTGAGGCAGCTGTTGAGGCAGCTGTTGAGGCAGCTGTTGAGGCAGCTGTTGAGGCAGCTGTTGAGGCAGCGATTGAGGCAGTGGTTGAGGCAGCTGTTGAGGCAGCGATTGAGGCAGTGGTTGAGGCAGCAATTGAGGCAGTGGGTGAGGCAGTGGTTGAGGCAGCTGTTGAGGCAACGATTGAGGCAGCTGTTGAGGCAGCGATTGAGGCAGCGATTGAGGCAGTGGGTGAGGCAGCTGTTGAGGCAGCGATTGAGGCAGTGGGTGAGGCAGCTGTTGAGGAAGCGATTGAGGCAGTGGGTGAGGCAGCTGTTGAGGCAGTGGTTGAGGCAGCTGTTGAGGCAGCGATTGAGGCAGTGGGTGAGGCAGCTGTTGAGGCAGTGGTTGAGGCAGCTGTTGAGGCAGAGATTGAGGCAGCTGTTGAGGCAGCTGTTGAGGCAGCGATTGAGGCAGTGGGTGAGGCAGCTGTTGAGGCAGTGGTATTTAATAACATACATGCTATTAATAATAATAATACATGTTATGCAGGGAGACTAATGCTCACTCCAGCATAAACAAAGCCATACTGACGATGTGTCAACCACTCCCTCGTATTTTTGTACAATTTCCTTCTTCAATTATATCGTATTATTATTATTATTATTATTATTATTATTATTATTATTATTATTATTATTATTATTACTATTGTTATTATTAGCAGTAGCAGAAATGTTTGATTCTTTGCTGTGTTCAAGAGTAAACACATGATGTCACTGTCCAATACCTGTTTCCCAATAGCCATTCCAAAAATGCCCGTCATGAATGGTTTTACATTATTTATACTGTAGTTTAATAGCAAATAATGAACAAACAAAACACTCACCACACTGAGTGGTGGGAGGGCTGGCTGCCAGTTGCGGGGGTCGGAGGGAGGTTAGTAGGGACTCGCAGTGGTTGAGGAAGTGGTGGAGGCATTGGTGGAGGCATTGGTGGAGGCAGTGGTGGAGGCAGTGGTGGAGTCTGGTATTTAATAACATACATGTTATTAAAGCATTTTTTTTTTTTTTCAACAAGTCGGCCGTCTCCAACCGAGGCAGGGTGACCCAAAAAAGAAAGAAAATCCCCAAAAAGAAAATACTTTCATCATCATTCAACACTTTCACCACACTCGCACATTATCACTGTTTTTGCAGAGGTGCTCAGAATACAACAGTTTAGAAGCATACACATATAAAGATACACAACATATCCCTCCAAACTGCCAATATCCCAAACCCCTACTTTAAAGTGCAGGCATTGTACTTCCCATTTCCAGGACTCAAGTCCAGCTATATGAAAATACAGTAACCGGTTTCCCTGAATCCCTTCACTAAATATTACCCTGCTCACACTCCAACAGATCGTCAGTCCCAAGTACCATTCGTCTCCATTCACTCCTATCTGACACGCTCACGCACGCTTGCTGGAAGTCCAAGCCCCTTGCCCACAAAACCTCCTTTACCCCCCTCTCTCCAACCCTTTCGAGGACGACCCCTATCCCGCCTTCCTTCCCCTATAGATTTATATGCTTTCCATGCCCATTCTACTTTGATCCATTCTCTCTAAATGACCAAACCACCTCAACAACCCCTCTTCTGCCCTCTGACTAATACTTTTATTAACCCTCCACACCTTTCCTAATTTCCACACTCCGAATTTTCTGCATAATATTTACACCACACATTGCCCTTAAACGGGACATCTCCACTGCCTCCAACTGTCTCCTCGCTGCTGCATTTACCACCCAAGCTTCACACCCCATATAAGAGTGTTGGTACTACTATACTTTCATACAGTCCCTTCTTTGCCTCCATAGATAACGTTTTTTGACTCCACATATACCTCAACGCACCACTCACCTTTTTTCCCTCATCAGTTCTATGATTAACCTCATCCTTCATAAATCCATCCGCCGACACGTCAACTCCCAAGTATCTGAAAACATTCACTTCTTCCATACTCCTCCTCCCCAATTTGATATCCAATTTTTCTTTATCTAAATCATTTGACACCCTCATCACCTTACTTTTTTTCTATGTTCACTTTCAACTTTCTACCTTTACACACATTCCCAAACTCATCCACTAACCTTTGCAATTTTTCTTTAGAATCTCCCATAAGCACAGTATCATCAGCAAAAAGTAACTGTGTCAATTCCCATTTTGAATTTTATTCCCCAAAATTTAATCCCACAACTCCCCCCCGAACCCCCTAGCATTTACTTCCTTTACAACCCCATCTATAAATATATTAAACAACCATGGTGACATTACACATCCCTGTCTAAGACCTACTTTTACCAGGAAGTAGTCTCCCTCTGTTCTACACACCCTAACCTGAGCCTCACTATCCTCATAAAAACTCTTACAGCATTTAATAACTTACCACCTATTCCATATACTTGCAACATCTGCCACATTGCTCCTCTATCCACTCTATCATATGCCTTTTCTAAATCCATAAATGCAATAAAAACTTCCCTACCTTTATCTAAATACTGTTCACGTATATGCTTCAATGTAAACACTTGATCTACACATCCCCTACCCACTCTGAAACCTCCTTGCTCATCCGCAATCCTACATTCTGTCTTACCTCTAATTCTTTCAATTATAACCCTACCGTACACTTTTCCTGGTATACTCAGTATATATTTAGTACAATTTACGATGTTTTTATGTATTTTATTATTGTTCATGGTTCAACAAGTTAAGGAAGCAGTATTGTATTATATTTCCCTACAATATATTGGGGCACCAAACATTCACGGTTTTTCAACATTCGCGAGGCTCTTGATCCCCTAACCCTCGCGAATGTTGAGGGAGACCTGTACTTTCATTATTATTAAACACTTTCACCTCACTCATACATATAATCACTGTCTTTGCAGAGGCACTCAAATATGACAGTTTAGAAGTCGCTCCAAACTGTCAATATCCCAGATCCCTGCTTTACAGTACAGGCATTGTACTTCCCACTTCCAGAACTCAAGTCCGGCTAAATCTATAATAACCGGTTTCCCTGAATGGTTGTTAATTGTTTTGCTAGTTTTTTGTGTGTTAAATCTTAGTTGTTGTTAAATCCTATGATTTACCATAATATGTATTTATACTTTCTTGCAGATCCACCCTTGGGATTGTCCACCACTTATTCTGAACCCACAGATGAGAATGTCGCAGCCCAATATGCCTATTCCCAGAAATGGACCGCCTATGATGACTCGACCACAGCTACCTATGGTGACCCTACCTGGGACAATGCAACGAGGACCAACTCCTCAGCTGAATAATCCTAATTTTCCACCGTTTCCTAATAGAAGTGGCTCACAGGTTATTATTATAATTGTTTGCATAAATCTGTATTTAGTAAATTATTTCTAGAGAAATTTTTGCCTTTCTTGTATAGTTGACTAATGTGGAATATTACCCAGTTATTTCAGTACTATAATAATTGTACACTTAAATTCATAGATTTTTTTTTAAGTGGAGATAGTGATGAAAAATATTTAATACATTTCTTCTGTTAACAGTGGAGTACAGGAATCGTTCCCTATGGGGCTGGTGCAATACTTTCGCAATTGGTGAGTGGGGCTCAGCTGCCACCACAAGAAGATTTACGAACCTCTCTCAAAAGGCGTTCAGGTGGGGATCCCACCGACATAAGTCCCCCTAAGCACTTGAGGATGATTCCAAATCATGTCAACACACAACATTCAGTGGCTGTAAGTTTAATGGATTATTATTTGCCTCTAAAGAAATCTGCTTTACACAGGTTGCATGGAAAGTTATGATGCCAGCAAGAGTAAGACTTTTTTTTTATGGTTAGGTTATGTACACAAAGCAATATAACACTTGCCACTGAAGTTAATACTTGGTTGAATTTCCCTTGCACTTCAAGCAGTCTTTAATCTTTTTAGAAACACTGTCATGTCAGTTTTGAAGGGTGGTAGGTGACAATGAAGCAAAGATGTCTCATAATAGCTGCTTCAAGTTTTGGGATGGATGATGTCATGGTCCTTTTGGCAGCATTTCATAAATGGCCACAAATTTTCTATTGGGTTTAGGTTTGGGTTATTACCTGGCCAGTCATTTAATCTTGATTGAAGTGGAGAGGTAATTTTGAATTGTTTAGTCCTGAAGCCTTGATCAATCGAAGTAAGGAAAAAATGCATGCAACAGATGTGTCATAGGAGGCGGGGGCTCATACCAGGCCTAATACCCATCCCTAACGGGGCTCTCAATCTAACCCTTTACATAAGAACATGCGATAAATTCTTGAGCAATAAAATTTTTTTAAAATACCTTAACCCTTTCAGGGCCCAGTCGAAATTTTTTTCCCCAGGGGCCAAATTTTTAAAAAAAGAATTTTTATTTTTTCTTATGAAATGGTAGAGAATCTTGTTCTGAAGGTAATAAAACAAAAAGTACAAAATTTGATGGAAAATTGACGAAATTATGCTCTCGCGAATTTGGCTGCATCAACGATGTTTATGCATCGGCAATTTTGCCTACTTTGACTCCCATTTTAGGCCAATTACAGTATTCCAGTCGATGAAATTCTTAGCTATTTTGCTAGTATTACTTTTATTTTATCAATTGAGCATAAGAAACTGCCCAAGTAACTATTTCAACTACCTAATAAAGTGATCGGAAATTGGTAATTTGACCAATTTCATGCAAAATTCAAAATATTCCAATTTCAAAATAGGGTCCAGAATAAGGAATGCAGGCATTCCTGGCACTAAAATCACATTTCCTCTGTTTATTAGTTACTTTTCCAGGCTTTACAAATGAATTCCATTTTGATGTTTTATTCACATAATGAATTTTTATTCACACCAAAAAATAGAAGATGTACTGTTATGCATTATTATAATAATTGTATGAATAATATCAGCACATTCATGAACGCACATTAGATCCACCAGCTGATGTGTATTGGATGCGTGATGTGATTTGTTTACTCTTGAACATCAGCAAAAATCGAACATTTCCGCTATTTTGATCTCAGTTTCAAATCATTTTCAGTACTAAAACCAAGAAAATAATTTCTGTTTCTGTAATATATCATCCATTCTATCAAATGAGACCAAGAAACTGCAAGTACAACCATAAAAATCATACAAAAATATGCTGTTTTAATAAAAATGTGGTCTCAGTTTTTTCTCATTATGCACTGCATGCTTCAGGATTTGTTTTATGTGGTACACACTTACCACATAGATGCATTCTCTCATATCTAAGCCCAAATTTACCACTCACAGCTTATCTGAGTGAGCTGAGTTCATGGCGTAGAACTACGGCTTGGGCCCAGGCTTCTAAGCCATAGAACTGTGGGATGGACCCTCAAAGGCTTATTATCAAATACCTTTGTGTTACCATTTCGGACAAGTAAATATATCAAGAAGATAAATATGACAATTGCAGTTTTTGGGTATCTTTATTGCCAAAACGTTTCACTTGCAATAGATACTTAAATGTTGCACATACATTTTATTCATCCACTTGTCAATCAGTCTTGTATACCATTGATATAACAATACTTGCCACATACAGCAACACTATATCTATTGCCATGGACCATCCTCCTCTTCTAAGTGGACTTGGCTTCACAATGCTTCAACATTATTCTTAGCATACACAGATTAGCTTTTCTTGTTTAGCTGTATAACAATAACATTCAGTTGTTAGTATTTACAAATTGACCTTTTATTTTCAGAGAAAAAAGCTTCATGGTGCATTGAATAGGCAGCGAGGTGGACTGTTAAAAAAGGGCCCCATTTCTAGTAGGCTGTCTATGCCTGGTACCAATAACAATCCTAATTTGACAACTATCCAAACAGTGGACATCACTCCTGTTCAAAAGCAAAACCAAGTAAACAATCCACAGCAGAATCAAAGAAACCAGCATCAAAACCAGGGACTCCAACAACAAAACCAGGGACACCAGCAGCAAAACCAGGGACACCAGCAACAAAATCAAGGATATCAGCAACAAAATCAAGGACACCAGCAACAAAACCAAGGATATCAGCAACAAAATCAAGGACACCTGCAACAAAACCAGGGAAATCAGCAACAAAACCAGGGAAATCAGCCACAAAACCAAGGACACCAGCAACAAAATGTGGGAAATAAACAGCAGCAGCAGAATCAGAATCTAGGAAATAAGATTCGGCAAAACCAAGGAAGCCAACAACACAATTTAGGAAATAGACTGCAACAAAATCAAGGGAATAAGCAGCAGCAGCAGCAACAGAACCAAGGAAATAAACAGCTACAAAATCAAGGAAATGTCCAGCAAAAAGCTCAAGGAAATAAACAACCACCAAATCAAGGAAATAAACAGCAACAAATTCTAGGAAACAAGGAGGCAAATGCATCTGCCAGAGAGCCAGTTAAACAAGCAAAACCATTTGAAAAAGTAGTAAGTAGAAGGTTCTTGGTATCATAAGTACACTAATACAGTTGGCCAAAAAAATATTTGCATGGGGTGTCTAATTTTCATATATCAGACACTTTATCTTTTATTATTATTATTATTATTATTATTATTATTATTATTATTATTATTATTATTACATACCACCCGTCTCCCACTGAGGCAGGGTGACCCAAAAAAGAAGAAACAAAAGATTCGCTTCTTTTTACATTCACTAATTTATACAGGAGGAGAGTTACTAGCCCCTTGATCCTGGCATTTTAGTTACCTCTTACGATATGTATGTCTTATATGGGAAGGATTCTTCTCTACTTTCCCATGGAGTTGCCTTAATTATATTCAGATGAAAAAATGAGTGGGAGGATGTTAGATAGGAGTGAATGCAGACAAATGGTTTTTGGGACCTGACAAGCTGTTGGAGTGAAAGCAGGGTAATATTTTGTGAAGGGAACTTTAAAGTCATGCACTTTAAAAGAGGGGTTTGGGATATTGGCAGTTTGGAGGGACATCTAAACTGTCATATCTGAGCACCTCTGCAATAACATCAATTATGTATGAGTGATGAAAGTTATTTCTTTATTTTTAAGTTTTTCTTTTTGGGTTGCCCTGCCATGGTGGGAAATGGCTGACATGTTAAAAAAAAAAAAGTCTGAACTAGAGATTTTGTTGTAATTTTTTAATGAGAGAGTTCATTTTAAATTCAAGATCTTTAAATGTATTCTCTCGTTAAAAAAACTATAGAAGTTCTCCAAATACAAATTTAAATTAAGATCTGCTAAAGAGGATCCCAGAAGAGGGTTGAAATATACAGATCAAATAACATCCTGTGTTTCTGTCTCCATGTTGGTTATTATTGAGCATTGACAAGTGTTCATTACACTTTAGTTTTTCATGTATGTCCATGCATGTATAGTAATCTGTACTGAGTTTACATATGTAAGAAATGATGTTTTTTCAAACTATTTTTGACTTTACCTTTGTAATATATTTTCCAGAAAATCCTAGATCCTAGTGAAGATAGTGAATATCAACGAAAGATGCTTCAGCAAAAGCAGCTAAGAGAACAAATTCTGGCTAAAAAGGAGGCACGGAGAAAAGCTGCCGCAGCAATTATGGCAAATGAGATTGCATCAAGGAAAGCAAAACAAGAGAAAGAAAATAATAAGAAAGCTGATGAACAGCAGCAGAATGAACAGGTTGCACAAGAGCAGCAGCAATCTAAGCAACATCTACTATCCAGAAGAGTGAAAGGTAAGCGTACTAATTTCAGGTATTACATTCTATTTAGTTTTTTATTATAAATAGTTTTTGTCATGTTTGTTTTAATATGCAGGAAACTGTTAAAATATGCAAATAATACAAAGCTTCATAAATTTCATAACATGCAGTATTATATTACATTCCCAGGTACAAAAAATACCTGGAATTTACCCTGAAGTGGTTCCACTTGTCACCCATCCTTGTTGTCCAGGTTTTGACCAAGCCTTATTGAGTTGCTAATTAGCAGGCTCACTGGTTAGGAGTAGATTAATTGAATATTTCAAGTTTTCTTGATGATGGGTCTACTAGTAATTGGGCCCTTTTTTAAGCAAATTTGCAAATTTATTAATATATTCATAAGGTACATGTGATGTCATTATTTTTGCTTAATATTGTTGTTGATTGGGTTGTAAAAAAAGCAAATATACTAGGGTGGTGGGGGAGGATTGTGGGATTCAAAGATAAATGAATCTGATACAACAAGGGAGTTGTCACAGTTGCTCTTTATTGATAACAACACTTTTAGTAGATTCATGACAAAAAGGTTACCTACCTACATGGAGGGTATTTCGGGGATCAACGTCCCCGTGGCCCAGTCCATGACCAGGCCTCCCGATGGATCAGAGCCTGATGAACTAGACTGTTTACTGCGGGCCACATGTAACAGCCCAGCTGATCTGGCACTGACTTTAGGTATCTGTCCAGCTCCTGTTTGAAAGCAGCCAGGGGTTTATTGGTAATTCTCCTTATTCCTAATGGGAGGCTGTTAACAGTCTTGGGCTCTGGACATTTTATGAGTTTCCCTTTTAGTTACTAATGACAATCCTAATTTTCATTGGGTGTATGTTGCACCACCTGCCAAAGTCTCTTGCTTTCGTAGGGAGTGATTTTCTGGGTAAAGATTGGGGACCAGTCCCTCTAGTATTTTTCAGGCGTAATTATGATGCATCTCTCTCAGCCTGCTTTCCCCACTGAGTACAAGTTAAGTGCCTCCAAGCATTCCCAGTAGTTAAGGTTTTTTGATGAAACCTATATGTGCAGTAAAGGTTCTCTGTACATTCTTTAGATCTGAATGGAGATGTTAATGTACAGCAGTATTCCAGCCTAGAGACAGAACAAGTGATTTAAAAAGATCATTATTGGCTTGGCATCTCTTGTTTTGAGCATTTTCATTATCCATCCTATCATTTTCCCTCACAAATGTGATGGCGGGGACTGCTGTGATCCTTGAAGGCGAGATCCTCAACATTACCCACTCCCAGGTCCTTCACATTACTTTTCTACTCATTGTGTGATAAGAGGTTGGTGGAGGAGTTTAGGAGGGTGTCCAAAGGAAGCAAGGAAAATTAAAAAATGAATATAGAAAATAGTAGTATGATGGGAGCAACAAAAAAGCCTGGGCACTGAAATACTGAATGTCAGATTGGAATGAAGGAGTATAGAGGAAGTTAAATTATTTTGAGATTTGGGAATGAAAGTGTTGACAGATGGGCTTATGAAAGACAAGTTGAACTATACAATACACACGGAGAAAAGGGATGGATGGGGTGTGGAGGCTTCTGTAGAAATGAAGTTTATCAGGGGGCTAAAAAATGGGAATGTACAAGAGCTTACTGGTACTAACACTTTTAAATGGGTGTGAAGCATGACCTTGAAACTTTGCAGTGAGGAGACGGCTGCAGGCAGTGCAGATGTCATGTTTGAAATCATCATGCTGCATTAATTTTATACAGAGATAAAATCTGAGGACCCTATTGGATTATTAAAGGTATAATTCTAAGGTGGGAGGAGTGGTTGTTGAGATGGTATGGTTATTTAGAAAGGATGAGGTAGAATAAGATGACCAAGAGCATATATAAATTTGAGATGGAAGAAAGGAGGGGTAAGGGCTGTCTTAGGAAGGGATGAAGGGAGGATGTGAAAGAGGTTTTAAGTGATAGGGGAAAAAGCTCTCCACTCTCTCTCTCTCCCCCCCCACTCCTCTCTCTCCCCCCCCCCCCTCTCTCTCCCCTCCCCCCCCACTCCTCTCTCTCCTCCCCCACTCTCCTCTCTCCCTTTCCCCCCCCAACCCCCCCCCCCCCCATTTTTCTCTCCCCCCCCCCCCACTCTCCCCCCCCTCCCCCCCCCACCCCCTCTCTCTCTCCCCCCCCCCTCCTCTCTCCCCCCCCCCTCTCTCTCCCCCCCCCACTCCTCCCCCCCCCCCTCCCCCCTCCCTCCCCCCCCACCTCTCTCCCCCCCACCTCTCCTCCCTCTCTCCCCCCCCCTCCTCTTCCCCCCCCTCTCTCTCTCCCCCACCTTTCCCAACCCCCTCCCCCTCTCTCTCTCCTCAATCCCCTCTCCCTCTCTATCTCCCCTCTCTCCTCTATCTCCTCCTCTTCTTTTTCTTCTCTCCCCTTCTTCCTCTCTTTTTTACACAGGGGTTTTACAAGGTTAAGGATCCCTAGCTTTATTGACAAGCTATTTACGGGTTAAGGGAATTCCTAACTTTATTGGCAAGCTAACGCTGTTACCTACATCGTTCATTTGAAAGCATTTTTATTGTTATGAGACATAGAAGAGGGAACAGGATGAACTTGGAGCCATCGTGGGCCAGCATTTTCATTTGATCAACTGACTTTATCTCGTTGACATCATTATGCTGTACGAATGTGTTCCATACCGAGTCATCCTGGTATATAGGATCTCAGATGGAGTGAAGCTCTGGAAAAGGGGTACAGCCAGAGTGAAGTTGCTGCTTTCTGCCCGCTTGTGCATAAAAGCTTTTTTTAAACGCTGTCCTCGAAGTGGATCCAAGTGTGGACTTTGAAAATATTGGCTTTGTACATAACAGTAAGGCCACCCACATCCCTCCTATGTTGAAGGTTCTGCTGAAATGACAGACTATCCAGGATGGGTCCGGGCGAGAGATGAGACATTTGCTCGTTCTCTACTCTGTCAAGCAGTGGGCAGATGAGAGGGTGGGCAGGCAAACCAAGAAAGTGGAGCATACTCAAGGTGCGAGCGTACTTGTGCCTCGTACAGAATCTTGCAAACCCCTACTGCCCAAGTAGATGCGAGATACGGCGAAGGTGCTGAAAAGCTTCCTGCTGCCTTGTTTGCAAGATTTTTCAACATGGTTCTTCATGGTTAGTTTGGAGTCAAATTTCACCCCAAGGATATCAACTACTTCTCCCCGGTGCCAACACCCTCCCCATTCATCCTTACTACGCACCACATTACCATCATGGTGCCTAAGACGATCATCATTTGCTTTTCTCAGGTGCAAATGTTACTTGCATCTATTTCCCCCCAAACTGATATAGCTCTCAGCTGGCGATTGAAGTAGCTTAGAGCAGCTGGCATTTCTTCTCTTGGGTAAGTGAATGCAGTGTGCAGTCGTCTGCATATGCATGTGATTCTGGATGAGATGAAGAAGGTTGTTGAAGTAACATTCCTTAACAAAAGGTCCCAGCACGCTTCCTTGTGGAACACTTTCCCCAATAGGATGTCTTGCTGATTCCCTTCCATTGAGAACTAACCCCTTAGAGATCTACCATGAAGGTAATCACTGAGGAGACATAGCGTAGACCCCGCAATTCCCAGTGCTTGAAGTTTTGCTAAGAGGCCCTGGTGCCATACCCCCCGGTCGAAAGCACCACAATGTCCAGTGCTACCACACACCAGGGCCAGAGTAAGAAGTCTCCTGGCCCTATGCTATCAGTTTGGCGGGGCCCCCTTGAGTTCCGGGTAAGGCGAAGCGACCCCATCCAGCCTTGGGGGTAGGGGGGGGGTCGGTGGAGCCTGTTTGAAGGCCAATTAAATATATTCCTGGCTATTTAGATTAACTTTAATAGGGACAGTAACATGAAGACAACCAAACCATTTACCAACCACCTTTATAACTATCTTTGTTCAATCATCAATTTAAAGAGAATAAGCTCAAGACAGCATAGTATTACCTAGATAAGGTCTATTCAAGTAGTGACATCATGTACCTAAATAATCAGCATAACCACTACAGCACTATTAATCCCATTAAAAAAACACTACCCATTCTTGTACTCATTGCATCATGCATAAGACTAACACAATCATATAAACTCAAGAAAGTAAAGAAATTGTTTATAATCACAGGCACTTCTTAAATAAACTTTTTTCGTTCTTGGATTTATATTGGCAAAAAATAATCAATTATATCTGGAAAATCAATATTTTCTTGTAGATCAGACTCAATGGTCAACAAGGCAGTTTACAACAATTTGGTCTTGGCTCATTGATCAAGCGGAGGCAGGTTTTTCACTCTTTTCAAAACAGAAAATGAACGATCTCCTCACAGTTAGTAGCTGGAGGTGATAGTATAGGCGATACACTATGTCAACATTAAGGGAAGTTTTTCTGTGATACCTGCATTTCATAAATGTTTCAAAGCAGCTGAGGACACACATTTCAGGTGGAGCTTTTAATCTGATTCATATACCCAGAAAAATGAGCTAATCTCAACAAATGAGTCCTGAACACTGCTGAAAGGTGTTTGTTTGCAACTTTAATGCAAGCTTCTCTCAATTCTGGCTCTGGCATAGAAGTAATTTTGCACAGATATCCAAACTTGTCATTGAGAATTCTGGTAGATTTCTTTTCTTTTCACCAAATTCTGTAATCAGTGAATCCAGAATGACAAAGTATGTAGACTGTCTTACTTTTGCCTTGGTAGCAACACAATTTCATTGTCTGGCTCTTCAAAATGCGTTTCCTCTTCCTTTGACCCGCTAATGATCAGCCCGGTAACTGTATCTTCACCAGCAGTTTAGCTTTCTCTTCAAACATGCAAAAGCTTCATCATTGCAAGTGAGCTTACAAATTCCACTAAGCCTGCTAGAGGTTTAGCACAATAGCCATTTAATTTCAATTTTTCTGAAGTGTCCTTGTTTGGTGGCATTACCATTCCCAGTATTACAGTCCCCCAAAGCTACACAGAGAAGGCCAATTTACAATCTTCTCCAATTTTGATGCTA